TAATATTATGTTACTTTGTGTCAAACTGAACTGTTTGATTCCAATAATAAGACATTGAATTGACACATGAATTATTTCAACTTACATATATATTGGTTATTTTTCCGGCAGCATAACCATTGACTATAAATTGAACTATATGGTTGTAATATAGCTGAATGCTCGGATGATTATCCGTGTCACAGACCGAGCATTCCCAGACCAGATTTACAGGGTAACACACTATGCGGGTAGTCGAACCGATGTTGTCAGGCGTTACCACTGGCCTTGCTCTTCGGTTGGCTGAATTCCCTCACCAATGATTTCTGTGTTACTCTCCAGTAAACCTTTTGTTTTTAATACACACCAAATACTTTTTGTCATCTCGTATATGTTTTTCAATTTGTTGAATAGTGATGTATAATATTTATTATTTTATTAATAACAATACGCTATGTAAATAGATTGATGTGATTTTGATCTTTAGATAAATAATAATCATCTCTTGTTCAGTATAATAAAAAAATACTACTATTATTTTTTTGGTCCAGTACACAAGTTTATGACATTTAAGACCCTTGTTTTTTGGGTACGTGCCTTACTTTTCTATGTTTAATATATCGTTATAGTAATTTTGTGCATTATTTCCAAATTATCTGATTGAAAACATAATGTAAAGGGTGTACTGCCATTGACAGACAAATAAATGAGCGTTTTACACTTTAAAATAATTACTTGACAAGTTGTACGGGGTAACGTTTGGTGCTTGTTACATAAAAAAACGAAGCAGGTTTAAAAATGTATGACCTACTATCCTAATTTGCACTATCTATAATTTTTTAATTACTGGTAGTGGTAACACTTTCATTGATAAAAAATTATTATTCTATGTTAATCACATTCCATTTTAATTTTATGATGAAACAAATGTATTACTTATCTATTAAAACTGTGTATTGAGGTAGACTTGCAGCCTTAGATAAGTTCTGAGCAACCAAGCCACGGCATTATACAAGCGATTTATCTGGATTTATTGTAAATTAGCTGCGGGATTAAACGTTTCAGACCCAGGTCATGCTCCATAACAGCTCACCTCATTTTGTGTAGTCAGGGTGGTGTTTATCCTCCGAATATCGTTTTATTTAATACACTTATATTTACAGAGCGCTTGGTGTTATTCTATTATTGTGTTTATACCAATCATGATTCGTTCAATAGTAGCCTAATATAAAATCGGTATCGAAAAATCAATTTATAGATCATATTTAATACAAATAAGCAAGTACATAAATTGAATGAATAGTTAGGTAGCTTATCTTTGTTTATATTAAAGTACTGCTCAATCTATAAAACATACTGGGAAACAAATAAATTATTAAAATCTGTATAAATATAAAATCTAAATATAGGCAAATTTATTTAAAGGGTACATGAAAATGGAGAGCAGAAAGTATGCTGTCATATGTTAGCCAATAAGAAATACATTTTACACATTTTAGAACTAACACTAGCTTGTGGATTTGTGACAAAATCTATTAATCTTAATATTGCATACATTAATTTTAACCTCTTAGTTTTAATGGCTAGATTTAATGGGAAGATTTCTTAACAGTGTTAAGATTTAATTCAGTATGTCGATAATTAATTGTCTCGGTGATTTTTCTATGCAAACGACTGTTCTTTCATATGTATTCCTAAAAATAATGTTATGATTAATTTAAACCTACAAGTAATGGATAAATACTTGTAAGACAAATATTTTGTAATCAACGAATATGGAAACTCGTATTGTATATATCTACCACATACTGAAAAACTAAATAAGACCTTTGTTTATCCTCTTTTTAAAATTAATGGATAATGTAAACACCAATGTAAACACCATGTTGAACTAATAAGAGTTCTGATTACTATAAAGACGCCCTGTAATCCAGCTACTAGGTCACGAATTGGGGATATTTATAGGCATGCACCGTGAATGCGATATGAATGAGATGTGAATGCCCTGGTGTGGATTAATGTCCTCACTAGTGAGTACTACGACTATACGCAGTACTATCCTGATAATTAGACCAATTCGTTATTACCAAGGCAAAATGTGGTTCAATTTCCACTTTAACTGTAGTTCCCTTAGTAGCCATTAGCTGTATGGGCTATTAATTAACAGCTGTGTCTAAGGAATATGTCGGCCTTAGTCACTAACAAGACTACAAGATCGCACTACTTATCCTATACTCATCTCCATTCATACTTGGCTTAAAATACCTTTGATTGTCGCCATTTTATTGAAAGGTAAAGTAAAGTAAGTAATAAACATTTGAACTAATTCTACTTGACTATTTCTCACGATGGTTCTTTCGATTACTGTGAGAAATAGTTGTTTTACTTAGATTCGTTTAGCTAAATAATAACTCAAACAGGCTTATAAAACATAATAACGTTGTATTTTTGGACCAATCTCATTTTAAGATATTAAGTTATCGTAGCTATACAGACATATATGTCCGATATATTCTGGGTGGTGTATCATAAACAGATATAGAGCTAGCCAGGATTATAGGCTCGGCTATCTCAAAGGATTTAATTGCATACCATAACAACGGAGGGGACAAGTTTCACATTGCTTTGATGCTCATCTTCCCTTTATGTACTTAATAATGGTTTATATCATAATATGGTTTGCTACCAATCTATTTCCTTGATATGAAATTTTCATTTTTCATTTTGGAATTCACAGGTAACTTTGTGTGTGGTACAGAATAGGTGCTAAAATATGTGATACCTCTCGAAAAACAAAAGAAGGCTAACTGCTGCGATTCATATGGTATTTCTCGCATCTCGGGGGCAAACTTAATTTATTTAAATATGTTTTTGTACTAACATGTGAAACATGTATACTTCTCGAGGTTGAAAAAATTCTGTAGTCTTTTCCCTACGCAATGATCTCTGATGGGGATTATTTATTGCATTGTTTTTTTTTTTTTTAGACTCTTCCTAGTTCCTCTTTGGGGTCTTCATTTCATTCATCCTAACCAGGCCAGCATACATACATTATGCCATGCTATCTATATTCAATTTGATAAGGATATAAGTTGTTTAGTATTCTATGGTTTATTTTATTTTAGTCTGTCTCCAACACATGTTTTTTAGGTTTTCAATTTTACTACATGTGATTATTGTTTTGATAATATTATTATTGTGAAAAATGGTCAAGAAATCAATGAAATGATTAGGGAATTTAAAGTGGATAGAATAGTTTTATGTTTGATGTAATGGAACTGAATAGAGATTACCATGAATAATTAATTATATCTTACCAATCTTGAATTGAGTCTTGAGGTTAAGAATGAGAAAGTCCTTTATATAACTTTAAAATACAATTACATAATCTATAGAGAAAATCACCAACAAATAAATGCAAAATGAATTAGGTAAAAACTGTGATGTATTCCTTGACTACAAAGGGAATGGGCTATGTGGACGTCGAAACACTAAATGGGAACAAAGTTTCAGAAAATCATCCAATGTTGATTTTGGATAAGATTACCTCGGACATGCCAAGATCTCCTCTTGATCCAAATTTATTGGAAATAGTGAAACCGTATACCCTAGCTGACCCTACTTTCCACCGCCCTGGGCCTGTTGACGTTTTACTAGGTGGGGGTTTATTCCCATTCATTTTCACCGGAGAGAAACGACAACTTGGACCTAACCTACCATTTATCATGAACACAGTGTTTGGTTACACTCTCATGGGACATGCTCCATGTGAGAGTAATTCTAAATATAACAAAGATTCTTCTCATCTCACAACTATGTTAAATGTCTCTGATTTTGATCGTCATTCCTCTTTACAACGGTATTGGCAGCATGAAGAACCTCCCAGACAGACCGAATACAAACTTTCAAATAAAAAACATTTAGTGAAAACACAATCTAGAGAACCCTCTGGCAAATACTGCGTTAGGCTGTCATTCAAACCTAATCACCATCATCTCGGCAACTCTAGTAACAACACCAAAACAAGATTATTTATACCAGAAGAGAAATTTAAAACTCAACCTCATTACAAAGAAGCATTCCAGAAACCTCATCTTGTAACTCCTCTTTCAGAAGATCCATCAGACCTATCTACACCAACACCTGGATACTTTCTGCATAGTACACCTCATACGATGAATAAACTCCAAAGATGGCATCGATGGAGACTACCTTAATCTTGTTTGTGATTCAAGACATCCTTACACCTCCAATGTGTTGGCCACTGGCTAGAATTGTTGAAACACACCCTGGTTCAGATAACATTACAAGAGTTGTGACTGTGCGTACGAAGAATGGACTTCTCACTAGACCGGCAATCAAGGTTTTCCCACTGCCTGTACTTGAAGACTAAATTTTATTACAGTTCCGCCCCTTTTGTTGCTTTAACTTTCTCTGTTTCAATTACTGTTTCTGTACTCACTTGTTAAATTAATTCATTGAACCTGCGGTTCAAGGGGCCCGGCATGTTTAGTATTCTATGGTTTATTTTATTTTAGTCTGTCTCCAACACATGTTTTTTAGGTTTTCAATTTTACTACATGTGATTATTGTTTTGATAATATCAATGTTGTTAGAAATAGTCAAGGAATACATCACAGTTTTTACCTAATTCATTTTGCATTTATTTGTTGGTGATTTTCTCTATAGATTATGTAATTGTATTTTAAAGTTATATAAAGGACTTTCTCATTCTTAACCTCAAGACTCAATTCAAGATTGGTAAGATATAATTAATTATTCATGGTAATCTCTATTCAGTTCCATTACATCAAACATAAAACTATTCTATCCACTTTAAATTCCCTAATCATTTCATAAGTGATAAATTTAGTGTACTTTGAAACTCTTTAAAATTAAGTTTAACAACATAAAGGAAGCTGCTTGCCGAGATCAAGTGATTTGTTGATGTATACTATATGACATATGGGTAATTTAATACTTAATTAAGGGATGAGCATTATTTTAAAATTCTAACTTACCTTTGCTCCAAGGGATGAGTAAGGCTCGTCAAACAACGACCAGACCCGCGGTTTTAGCTTCTGCCACCAATTGAGTCTTCCCGCCAAATATGCCTCTTCGTAGCCAAAAAGGCGCGCAATCTCTTCCTCATTGGGCTTCTCCGAGTCAATGTCAAGCTTGTCCAGGATGGCTAAGGTGGTCTGAAACAAATAAAAAACCTTTCAACCCAGACTATACAGAACAGTTGGGACTATCTTTCTACTATATATTATTCCTTTTTAGCGAATTTCCCTATAGGGAAGTAGCTATTACCGTAGGTCTCATGGTAAGACTTAGGCCCGGGACCGATTTACTTTTTCATTTTGATGTCCCCAGAGGCCAAAAACACCACTCGTTCAAATTTTTATATATGTATATATATATATGTGTGTGTGTCCGTGAACACGATAACTTGAGTAATTTTTATCCGATTTTGATGAAATTTGGTTTGAAGGTGTAAGGCGGGATAAACTTGAATGAGTTCGCGATCCAGCATGATCGGACCATGGGAACAGGGTTTTATGGGGGGTTTTATGGGATAAAAATTGGTTTTCTCACTTTTGACCCTGAAAACACAAAATTTCCCAATTTTTCTCTAAACCTTCTTAAATAGCTTAAAAAACAAACAATTCAGTATATCAAAGTGTTTTTGTACGGTTATTGGTTACGGAGAAAACTAAAAAAATGGTAAATTTAAAATTCCCATGTTATTCTTATGGAGAATATTGTAAAATGTTGTAGTTTGCTTGTTTATGGATATCTTTTGATCAAACTTGGATATATTCATTTTATACTAAGCAATAATTATTTTACTTAAAACACACACTTTATTAGTTTCCTTGTAGCAGCAAACCTAGGTACTCGTTAAACCTAATGTTATTTAAATAGATCAATTGAAAATCAATTCAGCCAAATGGAAATTCGCTTAGGCGTCAGGTTTGCTGTGGCGGGGGTATTTTATATATTATTATCTTTTTTCTATCTATTACTATATCTTTGATCCCCCGAAGCCAATAAATGTAACCTGTGCAATAAATGTTATGCCTTACACTGACCCTGCTAGATTGCTTTACCCGTAGTCATTACTCAATCTCTGATCCCCTGAAGCCATTACTACAGAAGAGTTATTGCAACTTGCTGTTATCGATGCCATTACACACCTATAGATAACCTGTGCAATAAATGTTATGCCCTACACTGACCCTGCTAGATTGCTTTCCCCGCAGTCATTACTCTTTTTCTGATCCCCTAAAGGCATCACTACAGTAGAGTTATTGGAACTTGCTGTTATCCATGTCAATACACAACTATAGTAAGATAACGTTTGCTATAAAAGTTAAACCCTAGACTGACCCTACTAGATTGCTTTTCCCGCAGTCATTACTCTTTGTCTGATCCCCTGAAGCAATTACAACAGTAGAGTTATTGCAGCTTGCTGTTATCGATGCCATTACACAACTATAGATAACCTGTCCAATAAGTATTAAGCCTTACACTGACTGTGCTAGATTGCTTTACCCGCAATCATTACTCAATCTCTCATCCCAGAAGCCATCACTACAGTAGAGTTATTGCAACTTGATGTTATCCATGTCATTAGACAACTATAGATAACCCGTACAATAAATGATAAGCCCTACACTGACCCTGCTAGATTGCTTTACCCGCAGTCATTGCTCAATCTCTGATCCCCTGAAGCAATTACTACAGTAGATTTATTGCAACTTGCTGTTATCGATGTCATTACACAACTACAGTATTGATAACCCGTGCAATAACTGATAAGCCCTACACTGACCCTGCTAGATTGCTTTAACCGCAGTCATTGCTCAATCTCTGATCCCCTGAAGCAATTACTACAGTAGAGTTATTGCAACTTGCTGTTACCGATGCCATTACACAAATATAGTAAGATAACCTGTGCAATAAATGCTAAAGCCCTACACTGACCCTGCTAGATTGCTTTTCCCGCAGTCATTACTCTTTTTCTGATCCCCTTAACCCTCAGTACAGTAGAGTTATTGCAGCTTGCTGTTATCGATCGCATTACACAACTGTAGATAACCTGTGCAATAAATGTTAAGCCCTACACTTACCCTACTAGATTGCTTTTCCCGCAGTCATTACTCTTTGTCTGATCCCCTGAAGCAATTACAACAGTAGAGTTATAACAGCTTGCTGTTATCGATGCCATTACACAACTATAGTAAGATAACCTGTACAATAAATGCTAAAGCCCCACATTGACCCTGCTAGATTGCTTTAACCGCAGTCATTGCTAAATGTCCGATTCCCTTTAGCCATCACTACAGTAAATTTATTGTAACTTGCTGTTATCGATGCCATTACACAACTATAGATAACCTGTGCAATAAATGCTAAAGCCCTACACTGACCCTGCTAGATTGCTTTAACCGCAGTCATTGCTCAATGTCTGATCCCCTTTAGCCATCACTACAGTAAATTTATTGCAACTTGCTGTTATCGATGCCATTACACAACTATAGATAACCTGTCCAATAAATATTAAGCCCTACACTTACCCTACTAGATTGCTTTACCCGCAATCATTACTCAATCTCTCATCCCCAGAAGCCATCACTACAGTAGAGTTATTGCGACTTGCTGTTATCCATGTCATTACACAACTATAGTAAGACTAGCTGTACCCGCGGGCTTTGCCCCGTTTAACTTCATAAGTATTCGCATGGCTCATTCACGTCCTGGTTGAAGTTCGTTCGCTACGCTCTCTCACCTTTAAGTTGGAGCTCGTTCGCTATGCTAACTCGCCTCCAGGTTGAAGTTCGTTCGCTACGCTCACTCACCTTTTGGTTGGAAATTAGCTGTTGTCATAAATAAATAAAAAAAATTATAGTACTGCACCCTGTTGGTAATCCTTGTAACTTTTATGCTATTGAACATCATAGAACAGAACCAACTTGTTTGATTGAAACAGCTGTTAAGATGCATTAATTCCTTTTAAATATGAAAAATCATAAGATTAACATGGGGAACTTCAGTGCCACTGGGGCGGAGCCCGAAAGGATTTTTGAGATAAGAATATACTTTAATGTTAATCGGGAATGTGAGCTATCATCATGCCAAATTTCAGCCCAACCCGTCCAGTAGTTTATGCGTGATTGAGCAACACACACACACACAAACTCACAAACTTTCAGATTTATAATATTAGTAAGATAACCTGTGCAATAAATGTTATGCCCTACACTGACCCTGCTAGATTGCTTTACCCGCAGTCATTACTCAATCTCTGATCCCCTGAAGCCATCACTACAGAGTTATTGCAACTTGCTATAATCTATTACAATAACAATCTAGATTAAGATAACTTGTCTATTAAATACTAATCCAGATATACTGATTAACCTATACTGAGTCCGCCGAAAACCTTATCGCATTTATGCCTCAGAACTAACACTTTGATCACAAGGTTAGATTTTATTTAAATTTGTTCATTCTACACTAGAATATAAGCACTTTTCTAGTTATACACTTTCCATATTGTTTTTGATTTGCCTATAGATTATATTCGTTTTTCTAAGAGCACTGAAATATATAATATTCATATAGGTGCATAGATTTAGTCCACCTTGATAATTAATAGTTATGGGCTTATATGGAACGCAAAAATGTATTAGCTAGTTACATGTTAACTGCATTAGATTTAGCACATTTTTTTTATAATTTTGGTTTGTTATTAGTATACGCTAATTTGCACTGCTTAATCTCAACATATTTCATATTTTGTAACCATTTTATTATTGTTTAATGTCATTCTGTATCTGTTTGAAATTACAATAGCCCAAGTTTTAATAATTGATAATTTAATTTGATCGCGATTGGTTTTAACTTGAGAATCTTTTTAGAATCTAGTCAAATGAAGCAGCGTAAAGATATCAGAGCCTAGACTTTGCAAGATTGTGTCGTATATTTTGTTGGGAAGGGTAGTAAAAATATGAGGTTTATGTTTTAATCAACCCCCAACATGTGAGGACGGACAGTAATGCAGAGTTATGGGAGGTGTCTGGATGACTTTAGCTAGGCTGCTTTCATCTCACCGTACACACTACCAGAATATTGCTTGTGTGAGTTGGTGGATTTTTCCCATTTAGATGAAATAGTGATAAAGGAACCCTGATATTTTCACTTTGGAAAGTGAAAAAACCTCAAGAAAACCACTGAGTTTGCCTCGAATTTAATTCTCCATCCCTTTACCCATTTTAGCATTGAGGCAGTTTTTATTTACAAGAGTAACACTTATTAGCATATTAGGTTAGGTTGGGTGTGAAGTTAGGTTAGGTTAGATTAGATTAGGACTATGTTCACGGACCTTTGCCGTTAACATAGTCCTAACCTAATACAGTATAATAATTGGTGGTAGTGAATTAACGGAAAAGGTCCGAAGATTGTAGTATGAGGACAATAATATCTGACTACTTAAAAAAACTAAAATGGAAAGAAAATTAGTATAAAAAGTCAACATTGTGATTACTCCTAGTTCTATATAACAATGACTTTAGGAGACTTATATACTTCTTTGATGGTTGCAGTCTTGTTATAAATCTAGTTTATTTTTTAAGTATACTATTTTACTGAAAACCAGGTTAGTGGAAAGCTCGGTGCACTATAAATATAAACTAAAACACTGCACCGACGTGTATTTACAATATCCAATTTACATGTTAATTGCGTTAAACAAAACAACTTTTGCATCGTAATTCCTAAATCAGTATGAAGAGGAGCCACTCTACCGTTCGTAAGTGTTCTTAAGGAGAATCCACGTCCTAATAAAACTACCTTCAATACACTTAACAAATAGTATATCAACAAACACTAGTTATCCATCCGTGAACATTTATCATTGATAATGTTAGTTATTTAAAATAACATTATTATATGTACGCAAGCTTTACTTATGTGTCTATCGTTTAAAATAATAACGACTGTGTTAACCATATTTCCTTAGCAATAATTTGAAAACTCCTAAATTAATCTACTTGAATTTATGCTAGAACTATTTAAAATTCATAAAAACATACATTTGTTCAAATCATAATTTTAATCAGGTTAGTCTAAGTCGGTCTGATTTATAATTGAGTGTAATTAGAGACCAGCCAAGAGATTAAGCTCTTGGTCACTA